ATAAAGCAATAAATCAAAAGGGACTGTTTTAAAATACAACAACTGGTTCTTCATTGTTTGCAGAGAGAACAAGTGGCACACCTCAAGGATCATTTCTTGGTTCCGTTCTGTTTCGCCGATATGCAGATGATACTCTGATATATCTGTGAATGCAACAAGAAAGCAAACTACAGAGCTGCATAACTGATGTGAGGAAAGGAAATTGCACAAAAGGAACAGGTGAAAACACAAGTTGAGCCACAGGGAAACATTCAGACAAGGAGCAATAGTGGAAAGTTCTTCTTTGGTTTTTAATTGGCACAAAATATACACAAGACATGCATAAGTGCAGAGGGTTACTGACTAAATGAAACAGGGAAAGATAAAACTAAAACACTAAAATAAACTTGACTACCGGGTGAAACATGACACAGATTATTTGGACAGTACTGTAGCCTAAAATTTTTCGATTCAAGCCAAAAAACAATTAAGTGTGGCTGAGTTTGGTCGTGTTTATCAAGAGTGATTTTCAGTATTTATAGACCAAATAAAGGAAAAAGAATGTCTCCAAAAGGCACCAGTTCCAGTGAAATGAACCCTTTGACCAAACACATTTATTCCAGGATCTAGGTCATATTTTATCTGCATAAAAATAAATAAAAGCCAGCACAGATTCCTGTGTCCTGAAGGAAGAAATAGACAGTCCTTAACACAGCTGTAGAGAAGGCCGTGCTCCTCGTGTCTGAGGCCTCTCAGTCGGGTTTCAAAAGATTTACAGTTTCTGTTGAATCCATGTTTGTTGTTTTCAAATGCAGTGTAACAAAAAAAACCAGTCTGAGCATATTTAACAGCTGTCTTGGCGTGTGCTCTCCTGTTTTAATGGCGTTCCCTGTGGTGGGAATTAAAATGTCGAACCGGACAGCTTAATAGCATCCATGTGGGATCGAGACTCAGCAGCAAACATTCAGAATCACAAATGGAAAGGCGACTTTTTTCGGCAGCTCTAAGACACTGGTTAGAACCCTTTTCCAAACATTTTTCACCTTGTACTCATATTTTAAACAAGTTTAAGATGCTCTAGTCGCTGTCTATAAATGTTTTTACATCTTATCTGAAATGACCTCGTTTAGAGCTGACAGAATATTTTATGCTCCTGTGAGTACAGGAAGTTATTTAAAAAACATCTCTGAGACTTCTTTTCTTTTAGAGTTGTGCACAAAGAAAAGAAACAAAATGAGTGCTCTGTGGAAAACCCAAACCACAACCCCCGGTGAAGTCGATGCAGAAGTGCAAAATCCTGCAGTTCCTGGAGTGTCCACTAGAGGCTGGCTGCAGCAGCACATGAAGTCACATACACACCCATTCTAAAAAGCCTGTTTTTACAGCAGAGATGAACATGTTTACAGCCTGGTTCAAAAACCAAATAGGTGTGATTAGCTCATGTCTCCATGGACACACACTGTACGGGGGGTGAATGTTTTGATGACTCATCAGTTTTGATTTGATGAAGGATAAGAGTTATTCACAATAAGGCGTGTAGCTGACCTGATTGACAGGTGGGCGCGGTGTAACGGTTTGTCAGGAGGTTTAAAACCCGCCTCAGCTCCAGCTCTCAGCCTGTCGTTAGGTTGACTGAAAGTTAGACTGAGACAGCATTTCCAGCATGGAGACCGCCATCGATGGGACTCCAGCGCCTCCTGCAGGAACAGACGGGTAACATCAGGCTTTGTCCATTAATATTTAAAGTCTGTGGAAAAACCAAAATCACTTTGTTGGTAGTGGTGGCTAACTCTAATAGGGACAATTAAGCTAACAAGCAGCTGGCGACAGCTTAATTTCCCCAATCGAACCAATCAACTGGGCCGACCACCTGTCACTCAAAGGTTAACCAGTCACAATCACAGTCACACCTCCGAGAGTCGCCAACTAGCCTAACGATCATGTGTTTGGACTGTGGGAGGAAGTTGCAGTACCTACATGTGCACGGGGAAAACAAGAACAATCAAAAAAAGAAAGTCTCCTGTCTGACCGGAGTTTGAACCAGGAAACTTCTCGCTGTGAGGAAGCAGCGTTCAATTTAGCTTTCATAGAAAAAAAAAATACTGTTAATATAATTTACTCATAGTTACAGGATTACTGCTGACGTCACCACTTTTAAGAACAACTGTTTCAAACATCTTCATAGAGGGGGCTTCAGTCTGATAACCCCTATGTGTGTTCTGTTGCAGAGCAGATTTGCATCCTATTTTATCATGCAAACAGTCTGTGCACTCAGCAGATCACTTTCTGTACTCCTCTTCTTTATTCACAAACGTTAAGGACTTCCTTTTAACCTTCTTATCTGAGATAGGATGCAGGTTAAAAGCAAAAACAGGCCGACGAGGATGCATTAAGCTCCAGCTAATGCTTCTGCAGCTGCACTTGTTTGAGAGGGCATCGTGTCTGCAGACGGCAAAGAACTAGTGGCGCCGAAGGCCGACTGTGGTGTTGTCTCACATCGCCTTTTGTCTTGGCCAAAAAGTTGCACTAGAACACACAGAAAAGACAGGAAATGTGTCTGATAAAATGTTGACAAATGGCGCTGGCGTTGTCAGCCCTTGGTCTTTTAGTGGAAAAAGAAAAGAAGAGGCGGAGGAGACAAATCAGGAGAAACCGCACTAATGGGTGAAAGCATGGATACTACAGCGGCATGCTCAAGGGGCTTTACTGAACCTGAGAGGAGAGCTGGAGAGAAATGAAACCTCCAAACAGCCAATCAGAGAGATACCTCTTACTGACGGCCGTCCGACGCCAATTCAACATGTCGAATCGGTCATAAAAAAACTCAACGGATCGACGGCCGACGATCTCCGTGGTTGTGTCAGGATCTTAACATGGCTGCACGATCATGCCAAGAAAAGTACATGCTTTTTTTTTTTTTTACCTTTTTTTAAAAGTGAGCACATACAGTACTGTACATGTTTGGGTACTCGCCTCTCAGCGCAGCAGGTCAAACGTCAACACACAGCTGCAGTGATCGGGGAACAGAGAGCCTGATTGTGAACATCAGCACACAGCAGAGTCTTTCTTCTGCTATGGAACAAGGTGAAATGAGAAGACTTCTCACTGTGGGAGGAATATCACACAAGTGCAGTTTTATGTCTGAATCGTCTCTGAAGATTTCACCCTTTTACTCTGCAGCTTGAGTATGTTCATGTCCAACCTTTGCTTCCTTTTTGTTTTAGTCATCTGAAAGGTGTGGTGTTCTCTCCTCCCTTGGACGAGTCCTTCAGCATTAAATCATGTGTCAGCAGTGTGGTCGGCCTCTGTGTGGACAACTGTAAAATCATTTGCAGTCCGAGCTGCAGCTACAGGCGGTAACAGAGACGTTTGTAACGGCAGCTGCTGCTCAGCTGGTTTCACATGATTGATGAGATCTGACTCCAGGGCTGCTGGGGCGGTTCAGTGGAGCATTAAAGTGCAATTAACAGCGAAGGTCTCTCATGCAGGAAGAGAAGAGCAGCAGATATCAAGTGGTGGCTATTTGTTTTTTTACAAGAGACTTATATGGTATTAATCTAGAAAGACAAAAAAAAAAAAGTGTTATTCAGTCTGCTGTGAAGTGAAGTCATCACGACTACATCATACTCGTAAAAGAATTTTTACGAGTAACGGCAAAAAGGAGCTTTTTGTTCTGCAGCCTCGGGGTACGGCGAGCTGTTTAAACATTTAACAGTCCGAGTCGATTTTTCATTAGAGGTATCTGTATTTCAGTAAAAATTAACATTTCAGATTTCCACGTCATGATGGAGGAGAAAGCATCGGACCGTTTGTTCTGGGGATACGATTTACAGAGCTGAAGCTGATGCCAGGACACGATTCCTCTCCGTTGTTTTTTTTACATTTTCTTGTTAAATCTCCATAAATAAAAGCAAATAAACACACTGGAAGGTATTCTGTGACTCAAGCTCAGTACTCTTCCTCGGCCCTGGCACACTTTGAGGTGTCTCTCGGCACGGTACAGGTCATGCACCAGCACCAGAACGCGGCCCCAGAGTAGTCTACGCGACGATTACGGTCTTCATTCTGAAATCCTGCAGTGCGAAGGCGGACCCTACAGCGCGGGAAATTTAAAAACAGCCACTCATACATTTTAAAGTTGATCCATTCTGCTGATCACTTTTTTTTTAAATCTCACATATTGTGTTAAAATGCTGAATGTCCTAAACTAAACGTGGGCAAAGTTTCAGATCATGAGGTGAACGTATGTTGGAGTAATCCCAGGATGAGTCAGCAGAGGGCGCTAAACGGCTTCTTCTGCAAATCACGCGCGAAAACCAAGAATTTCACCAGACGGCTTCAAGCCTCTAAGATGTTAAAATAACCTCTTACCTAGACTCTCTTCTCCCAGCACTGGAGAGCAGCCCTCCCCTGGCAGCCCTGCAGCTTTCGGAAGGCTTCCAGAGAGCTGAGAGTGGGCACATGGGGAGGTCTTAAAGAGACAGTAGCTGAAATGAACCGTTTCAGGCAGATTTTTTGAAAGGAGGTTTTTGAGCTGCAAATCCTGCAAAGCTGCTCTTCTGGTTTCACACACTGACATCATGAGAGGTGAACATGAGGAGAATACTGGATCAGGAAATAAAGTTTGATATGTTTAAATACAATTTTGTCTCTTAGAAATGCATTGTGGATATCTGTAATCAGCCTTCTTACTAGTGAGAATACTTTAGACAAGGAGAAATGTTTTGTTGTTTTGTCTTACAGGATGAAATGGACTGAAGAGGCTGCAGGAAAAATCTCCTCCCAGGTTTTTTAAAAGCTTTCTCTGTTCTAGATGTGACATTTTAAGAATTATGCTTTATATTTGTGTGTGTCATTTATCTGTTGAGAAGTCAGCTGGACTTGAAATATTCCTACTCTCCTCTGGGATCCAGTCAGGGAGTCTGTGCTGCAGGGAGGGAGGGAGGAGGGTGACGCTGAGACACCCAGAGGTGATGTGAGCTCACTGCTGCAGCTCGGCCGTATAAAAAGCAGCCGAGCTGAAGCAGTCAGACTGACAGAGAGGACGTCACAGAGGTGCACTTTGTTCTGAGGAGGAGGAAAAGTTTCAATATGTTTCTTACAGGATGAGGAAATGCTCTGAGTGAAGAAATCATTTGACTTTTACAACAAATTCATGAAGATTCAAAGTGGAGTATTCTTTCTTTGCCGTTGCTTCAGTGATGATTTCTCGTCCTAGTCAGACACATCCTGAACACCTCCATGGATTTATTATTGCAAAGGTGAGTTGTGATTTAAGCAGGTAAATATAAAGCACAGGTGGTGCATGCTGAAACTATAGCATGTGTTTTTTTTAACTCTTACTGTTTGCATTTTATTGCAAATGTGATCATGAGGGTAGGATGGTAGTGCTCTGGTGACCCATAGGCTCCTACACTGGTACACCTTAAAGGCAATCCTCGTTCTGCTCCCTCACCATCTGTGAGTTTTTATATCAGTGTATTCTGTGCGTTCTCCGACATCTTTAAGCTCTCTGTCCTTAAGACAGAAATGTGGCAAAGGGCTTTTCAGCCTGGAATCTGTTGCAGAGAGACTTCAAACTCGAGGAGCTGGAGTCCTTAAATGTTTTATTAATCTAGATAATGAAAGACCGGGAAGCAGAGTCTACAGGATGTCGATGCTTTAGCTCCACTGCTTGAACTACTGACCCCCAGATTTGACTCAGATGTTTTTTTTCTCTTTTATTGTGAAGTTGAGTGTTTTTGTAAATCATACTTTGTCTCTCTTTGAGTCTCAGTATGTAGCTTTGTGTTTGTGCTGCAGACGGTCTCGGCCAGGTCTCTCTTGGAAAAGAGGTTTTTAATCTCAATGGGACCAACCTGGGCAAATAAAAATAATTAAATTACAAAAATCAGACGATGGGCAGAAAAAAAAGTAAAATGACGCACTTCAAATACGCCTAGAGAAAATGTGATTGTTGGAAAGGAAACGTTTCTGTAAATCTTTTATTTTTTATATTTAAATCATTTTGTTAATATCAGAAGCTTCACTAAGTATCTTCAGAAATGTACAAGAGGCAAAATAAGTTTAGTCATTTCCTTCCTCTTTTTTGTAACCGAAATGTAGAAATGTAACCGCTTCTATCTTAACTAAAACAAACATGAACATGAACATGCATTTCTTAAGAAAAAGGTTTGGAAGCTCTTAAGAATGTTCTTAAGAGTAACTCCTGATTGTTTTCTTAAGAACAGAGTCATCAGTGTCAAGAACTTTTTTATTTTCTTAATAATTAACTTCTCAGATGCTGTAGGGCATATATCCCTTCATCTGATTTTTGATTTTGATCTAGGCCTGACTCACATGCAGGCACAAACAGCAGCTGTGGACATGTGGAGAGACGCACTGAGCGTATCAGAGCGGTTGGGGGTTCGGGGGTGCCTTGCTCAAGGGCGCCTCAGCAGTGCTCTGGAAGTGTCCTAGCACCTCTCCAGCTACCAGATCAAATTCCATATTATGGTCCGCACCGGGACTTGACCCAGCGACCCTGTTGTCTCTCTGAGGGAGATAAATATCTCAATAGGTTTCTCTTCACTTTTAACTCTGAACACCGAGGCATGGCCGTGTTCGTCCAGCACTTCTAGTCTAAATGAAACACTTTAATGTGACACATGACACTCTGCATAATTGCATGGTTCTGTCTCTGGCTGCTCATTGTTATTCGCTTTAAAGCAGAGAGAGCTGCCAGGTATGTAGAGGAATGTGTTTGGATAAACAAAGACAAAGTGTCCAAACTCGTTCAGAGCATCAGGGTGTGGAGAGAAAAGAGAGAATCTGTGCAGCGAGGAGAGAGATGGTGCAGGACTGGGCATGTTTGAAATGTTATTAAGAGGGAAGAAGGGTGAAGTAAATCAAGTTCTCTTGTGACTGAAGGGCAGATATTTATACCAGAAGTTTGTTTTTTATAGCTTTTTGTTGGCACAGTTTACAGATTGTTAAATTGTCTTTACTGCACACGAGAGAGGTGTCATAGATTCTGATATTTCAGCTTTACTTTGTTAGTTCTTGTAGTTACATAAAAGCTACATCAGCGTTATGCAACACCATGTTTTTTTTATTTAAAGACGACCACAACGATCACTTTTTTCCCAGTAATTGAGCTACTGGGATTTTATACTGGGACTCCGGTTGGGGTTTGATTTATAACAGCTCAATTCCCTCCTCCCCTTTACAACAACACAGGGAACAACAGAATGTTTTCTCAGGTCACTCAGCGGCAGAAACAATGAGAGAGGACAGAAAGTAGCTGCCATTATCCCGTCTCTCCCTCTTGCACACTTTTCAAACCCGGCCCAGTTTCAGCAGACAGCTCTTTGTCTCTAGTCTGGTTCTGCTCGACATTTCTGCCTCTTAAAGGACGTGTTTTCTTGCCTTTCACTGTGACTTCTGCTAATTGTTGCTAAGTGCTAATGATGGATGAACAGTGGATTAGGGTCTCTGTAATATAACAATGTTTAAGGTCTTTTAAATGCTTTTTGTGAAGTGTCTCCAGATAACGCTTGTTACAAATGAACTTTTAACCACAGTCAGTTTAAAGCATAAAACGAATTAATGGTTGCTCTAATACGCTGAAAGTCAAAGACAAATACACTCACATGTCATGCAATAACATGGCGGCGGTATTTGTTATTGCTGTCGGGATTCAGGTTGGAAACGGGTTAGGGGGTTCCACCCTAAAGATCCACAAAGAACAGAGTCATATTTTTTACATTTGAAAGATCTTGTGTTTGAATCAGTGAATGCCCATCGTACAAACACATTTTTCACAGGGCAGCTGTGGCTCAGTTGGTACAGTCATCACCTCTCAACCAAAAGGTTGAGGGTTTGATCCCCAGTGAAGCAACATGTCCGATGTGTCCTTGGGCAAGACACTTAACTCCACATTGCTCAAATAGATTAGTGTTGTACCTACTCTATGATTTAAGTTGCTCTGGATAAAAGCATCTGCCAAGTGAATTGTAACATCTTCAGGGTGCAATACATTGCTTTTTTTTGGAATCGAGGGTCAGCATGAGTTTAAAACGTCCCCCACTGCAAGCTGAAGGGTTTTTAAAGTCCTGTGTGCCGAGCTCAGTCAAGATTTTAAATGTTTGTAAGGCTGTCTGGGCCGTGCAGCAGCATCGCGGTGTTCTGATCTTCTTCTCTGATCTTTTATGTCTTTTCTGCAGATCTTGTGTAATATGGTACATGTGGTTTGTTGCTACTCAGGTTTTATTTACTGTTTTCTGTCTTCTCTCAGTTTTTTTCTAACCAGACGACCCACATCAGGCCCAGAGCCTCGGGGTGATGCTGGCCATGCAGCACTACAACTCCTCGGGCATCCTCTCCCCTCCCCCCCCCTCTAACCTCACCACCATGCAGCAGGAGCCCAAGGTGGAGGCCGTGCAGCGCAATGACACCCGCCTGCCGAGCAACCCCACGGCCGCCGGCCTCACCATGACCCTGGGCATCCTGTTTAACGTGGTGGCCCTCGTCATCCTCGCCAAGGCTTACAACCGCTTCCGCCGGAGGTCCAAGGCCACCTTCCTGCTCTTTGCCAGCTCTCTGGTGGCCACAGACCTGGCGGGACACGTGATCCCCGGAGCCCTCGTACTTAGTAGATACTCAACGGGGATAGGGTCCAGAGCTGATCCTGAATCCAGCTTTCGAGTTGACACTACAGACCCGGATGCTTCTTGTCTGTTTCTGGGAGGCTGCATGGTCTTCTTTGGCCTGTGCCCTCTCTTCCTCGGGTGTGGCATGGCCGCAGAGCGCTGCCTGGGCGTCACAAAGCCTCTGCTGCACGCCCAGCTGGTGACCACAGCGCGGACAAAGATGGCCCTGACTCTGATCTGGCTGCTGGCTCTGTGTGTGGCCCTCCTGCCCTGCTTCAGCCTGGGCGCCTACACCTACCAGCACCCAGGGACGTGGTGCTTCATCAAGGTGATGGAGGGCACCGGGCTGAAGGACCTGGCCTTTGTGTTGCTGTTCTCCGGACTCGCTCTGAGCTCCCTGGCCTCGGCCTTTGTGTGTAACACCATCAGTGGGATCACGTTGGTCCGAGCGCGGTTAAAGAGGTCTTGCTCCCAGCGCCGCTCTGCCCACTCCCACGACACTGAGATGGTGGTGCAGCTGGTCGGCATTATGGTCACTTCTTGCATCTGCTGGAGCCCTCTGCTGGTGAGTGTGGAGATAACACTCAAAATATATTTTTTAAAGATTAATTGTCAGTGTTATTTTAATTCTGCTGATTTCTCACATCACAGCTCAGTGCAGCAGGGGAAACAAAACTTTCATAGTCTGCTTTTAGTTTGGCTTCAATATTTGTTTCGATATTGAAGAAGAAGATTTCCTTTGTGACACACAGGCTGAAAGAAACACACGCAAAAATAGGATCCTGTGGACATGCACTAGGCAAGGCAAGTTTATTTATGTCGCACATTTCAACAACAAGGCGATTCATAGTGCTTCACACAAGACATCAAAAGCATCATAAAGAGGAAAGAAAAGAAACATTAAAATAGAACATTTAAAAATCACTGAAATGATTAAATCTGAAAATATGTTCAAATAAAAATAATTCAAATGAAATTAATGGAAAGATGTCTGAGTGGGGTGATGAGTGGGGGGGGGGGGTGCACATGAAGAGCGCCCGAGCAGTTAGGGGTTCAGTGCCTTGCTCAGGGGCACCTCAGCAGTGCTCAGGAAGTGAGCTGGCACCTCTCCAGATATCAGACCTGTGGTTCCTTTCCTGCATGTCATTCCTCACTCTCTGTCTCTGACCCCATTTGACCTCCATGCAACCCCGATGTGACCCCGAAGTCGGGGAAGCCTGGTCATATATATAAAGGGCGCTGGTGGCCTAGTGGTTAGTGAGTTAGTTTGAGTCCAACCCGTGGCTCCTTTCCCGCATGTCGTTCCACTCTCTCTGTCGCTCTCTCCCCGGTTTCTGACTGATACAGGATGAGCGTTAACAATTTTCTGTCTGTTTTTATTCTCACAGATATTTGGACTGATGTCCGCCATACGCTCCTACAGCGACCCGCTAGGCATTGACAAAGACACTTACAGGAGCCTGATGGTGACGGGGGTCAGGATGGCGACCTGTAACCAGATCCTGGACCCCTGGGTGTACATCTTGCTGCGGCGCGCCATCCTCAGGAAGATCTACCGCATCACCAAGAGGCAGGCCAGCCTGAAGGGGAGCTTGTTCCGCACCACGCGCTGGGACGCCAGCTCCTTTCAGAACTCAGAGAAAAAGGGCGTCAATAAGATTTAAATGAAACTGAAAGACAAAGGAAAAGCTGTTGGCTGTCACTTGTGAAGGGGACGCTGTTTAGACTCCACCAGGCGTCTATCATCTGGATCCTCATTCAGTGTGAAATGTCGATATGGAAAAATGTTCTTCCTCACCTGGTGGGAGTGTTGATATGAAGTATAAATGTTGGGATATGAAAATAATTCCTGAGCAGCTACTTATAACCGTCGGGTTGTTTTATGTGTGACAGTACAAACGGAAAACAGACAAATTTGATGTAACGTGGCTCATATGAAGGCATGTTTGCACGTCACTCTGTGCTCACTGAGACCAGGTGTGAATCACATCACGTCAGATGCATGATAATGTGACTTTTTCTTGCAGTGAGGTCAGTTTTTCACTGTCTCAACTCAAACGTTTGAACCCTTAATGTCCCATTTGTTCTGTTGTTTCATGTAAAGAAATTTCAAAGTGTCGTATAAAGAAAGAAAAGGCTGTGATTTGACCCCAGCTTCAAGATGTGAAAAACACCATGCATGCATGTGTGTGTGTGTGTGTGTGTGTGTGTGTGTGTGTGTGTGTGTGTGTGTGTGTGTTAATAGTGCTGTAACATGTATGTGAATGTGTGTTGTGATCGTGTGGTTGTGAATGTATCTACAGTATTTTCCCCGAGTGTCCGGGGACAGAAGTGAAGCTGTGTTGCAAAAAAAGCTAAGTGAATGTGACCTTGTTTTAAAGGGAATGTAAGCTCTTAAAATAAAAGGTTATTTGTTTGTGTTGTCTCTCTTTCTGCCGTGTGATTGAACTCACATTTGACATTTTTTAAAGAATAATGTTTTGCATGAAATAAACATTTTAAAAAAAGGAAAACACTAAGCTATAATAACATATAATTGTGTTGTTCGAGTGAACTCCAATACAGAAAATGGAATTAATCAAACTCACATTTTCCTTTTTTTTTTTTTACACTCTTTGAGGCTTTATAAGACAATACTGTGATGTTTTAAAATCTGTTTTAAAGTTGTGGTGCATCGCAGCGGCTCCATTTGCAAACATAAAAATTAAAGTCAAGATACAAAGACACAAACATTTGACACAACATTCAAACTCCAAATAAACATTCAGAGGCCTTAAACTTGCCTTGATCTGGGATTCAGAAATCAGAGCCGTATCATCAGAATACTTTAGAATACTGACTTTGTGTTTCTGACCGACAATCATCTGTATAAAAAGTGAAACGCACAGCTGAACTCAACTGAGTAAAATCTGTATTTTTATTAGTTTCTTTTTAATGGTGCTCCCCTCTTGGTGGCTCTCGACCCCCACTTTGGTAACCACTGTCACAGAATAGAATAGAATAGAATTACTTCATTGATCCAAACTGGGAAATTGTGTTGTTACAGCAGCAGGTTATCAGAGCAAATAAAACAATATAAGAATAGATACATAGCAAATAAGCACTTAAAATATAAAAAAACAAGAACAAGAAGAGATTTATACATTAAGGATTTAACTTTTTAGGCGATTATACAAAAAATAACAGATAAGATTTCTTCTAGAGCTCATTAATAATGTTGATTGGTGACACACATTTTTAATAAAGATGAAAATGTTGAACATAAAACACAATTTACACGACTAACTGTTTTTTTAATTCAGCAGCCGGTGTTACGGTTTAAAGAGCGACCCTGTTAACTGGTGACTTTTGGCCGTGTGTCATTGGTTGTCATAGTTACAACCGGGTAAAATGTCAAAATAGACCCGTTAGATAATGTATTGAATTAAAAACTAAAAGCGAGCAGCTACGTATGTACGGTACCCTCTTTCCCGTCCCCTTTTTTTAGCTGTTGCTACGACAACCGTGGACGCATTCGTTCACGGTTTCTTGCTATCAGTTCAAAAAAGAGCTTTACACCAATCAGCCAGCTGTTGAGGGCAGACAATCGACTTCTTCAAAGCTCCCAGAACTAACCACGCCCCCCGCTATGATCACGCCCCGTTCCCTCCGATTGGCAACACCTTCCGTCATACGCAACTTCCAACCAATCAGCTCCGTCTCTGTCTCATGTCGTGGGCGTTCCCTTAAAGCACTCCTGCTGCCTGGACCGGGGAGCTAGCGTGCAGCGTCGTCCGTAAGCAGCATCGACACCACGGTAAGTAAGAACACACATGAATGCATCCCTATAGATTAACACAGTTTGATATTTATGACCGGTTAAAAAGCAATGGATCGAACACAAGTGGCTAGTTTATATTTAAAAGTGTTTATTAAAAGAAAAAAAAAAAATCGATGATGCTTTGTTCGGCTAAGCTAACATGCTAACTGGCTGAGCAGTCGATGGGGTCTCGGTCAGTCTCCTCGACCATTTTGGTGTCTGATAAGCAACAAACCGCATTTAAACAATAGTTTCCATTATTAATTCGACTGTCTTTGTGTAAACGTGTTGATAAACGTTGTAGATATGTGATGTATTTTGCGTGTTGTGTTGTTTAAACTGTGGGTGATGCGGTTCTTATTGTGTGTGTTTTGGGGGGATGTTAGCTAGCTGTTGTCGCCAGTCTGACTCTGGACTGGATTAAAATGGCGTCTGTTTTTAAATTCCCCTGATGGAGCTGCTGGTTCTGGGTCCAAAAAGCTGTTTTGATAACTCAACTCTTCCTGCTGAAGCACCTGTTCAGTGTCACCGCGGGTTTAACAGGTGTGTAAGTAGCCTGGTTAGCACAGCGGCTCCTGTATCTGTGTGATGCCTTCAGGGGCTTTTTGATTGAGACAAATTGTTCTAGTCATTGTTTCAGCCTCATTGTTTATCATCCTTACCTACACTTTAAATCCTCTTTGTGACTCTGTGAATCAGCTCTTAGGATTTGGATGTTAAAGTCATGTGAGTGTGCCAAAATAAATCAATTAAGATCGATTGATGTTTAATTGATCCTCTGCAGGAAATGACAGTGACAGCAGCTACAGACACAATCAAGACCCCACAGAAGAGAGAGAGAATCTTTATTATCATTGTATACAAGGACACAACGAAACTTCGTTAGCAGCAGTCTTAAACAGCAGCGTTTACAAAAACAACAACAACAACAACAATATATTTGTGGTGATATGAGAGAGAAATATGCAAAAAGTGGCCAGAGCAATTGCTGTTCAGTGAATGAATGACAGCAATAATAAATAAATAGACAGTTGTGGTGACTGAAAGAATATATACAGTTATTATTTTTGCAGTGACTGATTAATTAAACAAATATAAATATAGAGATATAGTGCAGTGACAGAGTAGATACAGTTATTATTGTGCAGAAAACACTGGATACAACAACATTTATGCTCAGCTGACTAAAATTCAGTGTGCTAAAGAATCCAATGTGCAAAGTTTTGGTTTCAAATCTGTGAAAACAAATATAAATTAAGAATATCTAACATCCTGCCTGCCCTGATTAAATCCTGTTGTTGTGTACACAGAACACACAGTATCATGTGAGCGACTCACAACAAAGAAACTCCCTGAAGGAACATGCAAATGAATGCTGCAGTTGTTTTCTTTAACAGCACAATGAATATGATGTTTGCACGATGCACAGATAGCGTAAAGTATATTTATATCACACTTTTTACAGGCAAAGGTCACAAAGTGCTTTACATCAATAAAAACAACAACAGCGTGCATACACTTAAAACAAGAATAAATGAGAACGTCATGGACGACATTAGGGTGCAGGTGTAGTTACACTTCAATGTGAATAGTCTGTTATTGCTTGTGCAGGTATCAGTTTTGATATCAGCGCTCTGCTCTGTATAGTTTCCTGTCCTCTGTCAGTCACATGCCCGTGCATCGACCCCTACTCTCAAATCAATCGTTTCTTGTTGCACTGCTCTGACTTTCCCGTTCACTGAGTTAATGAAAAGTACATTTTTTCAGGGCGCTTTTTCACCCTCTAGAAATAGAAATGTACATATTTTGCAGGCATGAACAGAACAATTTTGATCTGAGTCAGCTTTATCTACATCTGCCTGAGAAAGCACTGTTGAGTTTAGCACCTGAGGAAATGTGTGGCTGTGCCGAGAAGAAGGATGTCAACATTCAAACGCATATCTTCAGTCAGATTTTTAACTAAAAGCTTCCAGGAGCGAGAGAGAGCTTTAGCAAAGCAGCACAAGTTACATTGGCAAGAAAAAAATCTTTTAAGAGGTGGAAATCTTGGGCAAATCCAGGCTCATGATGAAACAGCCGTCTACTGAAACTGCGCCGGGTTTGAAAATGTGATAGGGGAGATGGGATGAGATGCAGGAGGGGGGATAGGGAACTACAGATTCATGGAGGAGGTCTCATTCTGGAGATTCTGAAGTCACCTGTTGATCAAGGTCTGACTTGTTTTCATTATCAAACACGAGAGAAAATTGTTGGCATTTTCAGAATCTGCAATCGGCCCTGATTTTCTCAAACGGTGCTTCTCTCTCTGGTATAGAAATGTAAAAATCTGTTGTTGACATTCTTTGCCAAAAATCCTCGTCTTTAGCATCTGATGACGCCTTTTACTCCACTCAAAGCTGAGCAGCTGCCAGCCCACTTAGTGGGATTTGCTTTAGAAAAACTCATAACTTTTCATATCATCAACCTGACCTCTGACTGAAGCATGCATGCTCTCCGTCTATTCCTGCTGCACTCGTATGCACACTGCCATTTGAATTCTTCTTTGCTTGGTAATTTATCTGCTTGTTTTGTTTTTGTTGCTGTAGTGACGAGCTGCAACATTGTCACCGGCTGCAGAGAGGACTGTTGCCATCGATCACTGGATAAAGGAGACCGTTGTTTTTAGATCGACAATGGTAATGGTAATGACTCTTTATTATCTTCTCCTCCACGTTCCTTTGAAGCTTCACATCTCTGCCATGTTTTTGTATTTTCTGCCGAGAGACATGAGAGCCCAGGGAGCACCGGTCTGTTTGTGTAACGTCACTGTTAACAGGACAAATAAATGTGTCGCGTCTAATTTAAGTCACAGGCCCGGTGCCAGCGTTTTGGTGCTTCAGTCGGCCCGGGGCTTTAGGAAGCACATGCTGCAGCTTCCACATCAATGCTCTCCTCTAAATAAATTAGCTTTGGCTGCGCGCGTGTGTGTGTGTGAGTGAGAGAGAGAGAGGGCTCGCTGCTTGTGTAATCACTGGTGTTAGAAGCTTTGCCTGGACACAAGACCTACTTCTTTTAATTTTTAAATCAATCAAAGGGAAGCACGTGTCAGATGAAGTAGGACTTCTTTCCCCCAGGTTGGCAAGAGCCTCTCTGGAAAAGCGTGCTTAATGAAGTGATCTGTAACACGGACTCCAGTGGAAAGAGCTGCTCCGGTTTTATTCTGTCAGTTTGTCCAGGTAACACAGTAATCCAGTGAGTCAGGAATCTGTTGCTTAGGTAGTGCTCCTCTAAATTAGAGTCTTTTTTATTTAAATGTTCGCTTTAAAGCCTCCTCTCTGCACTGATCGGCAGCCTGGCGTTTTCAAACAATCAATCATTATTTGGCAAAAAGAAGAAGAAGCAACCACTCGCAGATGTTTTTGTTATTTCTGAGACATCTACCGTGCAGTGTGGGTACCATTATTTTTGAAGCGACAGGAGCCTTTAAGAATTACGTCATATAGTGGCCCCCGACTTGTTTGAGCACGGTTGCATTCTCATCTCGAGTACACATGAATCGTGCCCGAGACCACCTCTTCAAGCGGACCCGTGTGCACCTAGTGTAAAAAGCTTCTTGTCCAATCAAAAAAAACCCTTTGGTAGTTCTTCTTCTTCATTAATATTTCTTAGTCTTTCCCCCCGCAGCGCCACCGCAGCATGCGTGTCTTCATGAACGATGACCGGCATGTCATGGCCAAACACTCCGTCATTTACCCGACCCAGGAGGAGCTGGAGAGCGTCCAGAACATGGTGTCTCACACAGAGCGGGCGCTCAAAGCCGTCTCTGATTGGCTGGATAAGCAGGAGAAAGGAGGAACTAGCAAGTCTGACTCTGACGGGGCCGACACCGATAAGGAGAGGTGAGTCGGCGTGAGGGTACAGGATGTAGAAAGATTTTGTTATATTCACGTTGCTCACTTTTTAATCCTGTACCTGCTGGACAGTGATCACAAGGATCAGGCGACGCGCTCTCTGCGGGGCGTGATGAGGGTGGGACTGGTGGCTAAAGGGCTGCTGCTGAAGGGGGACCTGGACCTGGAGCTGGTGCTCCTCTGTAAGGACAAACCAACTATCGGTCTGCTGAAGAAAGTGTCTGAAAACCTGGTTACACAGCTCAAGGTGAGGACACGATAATGTGGTGGTGACTGTCCTCTGACTGGATTTTTACTGTTTACTGGTTTGTTTTGGTTTCACCGGGACGTTCTATTTTGGGAGTGTTTCCCTCCAATGACAGGACAGGACAGCACAGGTGAGTTGGAGTGGAAACAATTCAGGGATATGATAGATGTGGATGTAGCGGCAAAAAAGAGAATAAATAATCACAGTGAGGTGAAACACCAAGCGGATAAAGCTTGTTCCAAAACGAGGGTGGACTTCGGTTTAGCTGCTTCCTGTTGGACTGGCAGGTGCCAAACACAGACAGTTAGCTTGTGCTAGCATGTAGTAGCTTTAGAGGTGGGCGATATGGGAAGAATATCGTATCACAATTTGTTTTTGGCAAAATCACGATCATGATTTTATCATGATTTTTTTCATACTGATCTTCAAGTAAGTGGTCAGTACTGTAAGTTACTGACCAGTTCAACCAAACTTATTTACCTGTATAATGTTTTTAAATGCACAAAAACTGTGCTGACAAGTTTAATCTATTTGAAAAACATCTTTGTTGGAGGTCTCTCACCCAGAACATTTTAGCAACAGAAATGTCTTTCCCTCAATTCAATCAATATTTATGCACAATTTGAAGGTTTTCCTCACCACTTTGAAATGATGATTTAGTTATGTGTCCTCTTTTTATGTTCATCAGGAACATTTTCGTGCAGTGATGCATTCGTTTATAAACATGTAGACTTCGAGTTCTTTTTGTTCTATTTTAGCCCTGCAGAGTTCCTCCAGCTGGAGCTTCATACAGGCTCTGCAGACTTTGTTGTTTTTATGACATCATTGGACTAACTTTAGTTTAGTTTATATATAATCAAACATAATACAGAATGTGTTCATTCTGTGACACATGATCAAAGTAAGTTTTACTGACAGAAGAGTTTAATTCATAGAGGGGGCGGGACATTGTTGATTGACAGACAGACAGTCACCATGGTTACTCACTCTCACCTGCCTGCTGCTTTGTAACGTCGTTTAGTGTAATCCCTATAGGTTCAGTTATCACAACAGGTGAGCTTCAGGTGGAGAAGCTTGATAAGTAACTTTTAAAAACTGAGAGAGAGCAGAAAACACCGACAGCAACATTTGAAACACCGGGGTTATATCTCCCCTCACTGTCTGTCTGAGCTCCTCTCTGTCTGACTCTCTGCAGACTGTTAACGTCTCTCTGGCTCCTTAAACGGTTTCTTGTGTCGCTATCTGAGATGTAAATTTAACTGTGCACACTATGCAGATAAGTTAACTGTTGCTCACAGTGTGTCGGTTTGGAAAAATATCAGAACATTTGCATATAACCGAGATGGAGTTGTTTTTGTGGACTTTACTTTTAAGTTTAGTTTTCGTTTTCACGGCTGCAGAGCAAAAGATGGGGAGGGGGAGACGCGTCTGTGTAAGAGCATAAACTACAGCATGATAGAAAAAACACATTAGCCCGGTTCTACGATCTCCCTGCTTTGGCAGATCGTCAGCACGTTAAAATCCTTCACGATCTAAAATCGTTATATCGTCCACCACTAAGTAGCTTGCGGTGTAGCTACACTGATATGAGATCACATGTATGCATGAATTGAGAACCTGATTTTTATTTTTTTTATTTTTTTTACAATTAATCATGCAGCTCTAATGTACATTTTTGTGATACAGAATTGTCAGTTTGTCCCAAAAAAAGAAACACAAGTCCTTCCTCGCTCTTGTTTTACCAGATGAATATCGGTGATTAAAATGCTACAAGAAACCCATAGGGCAGATCTGATAGTGAAGCTCAGAAAAACCCAAGCAGTAAATGTACACACTACGTCCTGCAGTGAGGGCATGACGTCCTTTGCATGAGGAGGAGAGGGACCCGGTCTGAATGTTGTGTTTACAAACTGCAAAGGAAAATGCTCCAGACTCCACCTTGAATGTTCACATCATCACTGCATTATTGCACACAGACTTTTACAGATCTTCCCCAGCAGCATTGTTGAAATATCCAGCAGCGTGTCTTCAACACTTTGCTCTCTTTCAGGCGACAGAAGAAAAGTACGTGGTGACTCAGCACATCCGCGAGGCCAGCATCGTCATAAAAAACACAAAGGAGCCCCCGCTCAGCCTCACCATCCACCTGACGTCCCCTCTGGTTCGAGAGGAAGTCGAGAGAGCTTCAACTGGAGGTAAGCTGCCACACCTGGGCCTCAGTGTCTTCAGTGTCTCTCCCCCCCCCCCTTTCCTCCAGCAGGGAGGACACCAGGTCAGACAGATATTGTTTATTGGGCCTTCAATGGAGCTAGGGGACAAGAATGTACTGTCACTTAATGAAACTGTGCTATGCTTATAGCTCTATAGTCTCTCTCGTAGTTCCATGTGATGTAATCGTACATTTTTGATGGCCCAATATACAGTATAGGGCAGGGTAGTTCACTGACTGCAGAAGACATGGCTTTCTCTTGGACACCAACGAAATGAAGGCTTACTGAGAATTTAACAAAACATTTAAACTAAAAAAAAAAAAACGAGAGACCACTTTGTTTGCATGTGTTTTATCATTGATGATGAACGGTTTGCATTGCAGCAAAAATGAGAAGCAAAAAAGCTGCGGTGAAAATGTCCTCGGTTGTTCGACCCAACAGAGTGGGGCTTCTGATGTTCCTGTGCAGGGGTCGCTCGGGGTCACAGATAAAGACAACGACGAACACGCAGATTCTGCATGAATGTCCAAAAAAGATTCTAAAATCCAGCTGCTGATACACTATTCATCCTGAAATATGTGTATCTTCTCTTAAGCTTAATGACACACAGAGAGACCTGCGGTACTCCACATGTTTTTAAGAACATGTCAAAGAGGCGACAGCTTCAGCAGGTGTTGACCTTATCTGTCGCCCCGAGCGCCCGGTGACGCCCGGTTTTGGGTTTTTTATATATTTTTGTAAGCCATCAGTTTTGCTGCAGTGTGGACCTGTTTTGATACCCACTCTTTGTGCATCTGATAATTTCTGCCTGTGGTTCCAATTCTGATTGTCTCTGTCAAGCCTTCTAGTTTGTCAATTTTTAGGGACGCTGGACCTTTGACCAACTGGCCGCTCTCTGTCTCGGAAGGGGCAAAGTGCAGTGTACCCAGAAATAGGGGCAAAGGGGAGGGGCTCTACCTCCTGTTAACGTCAGAAAAAGAAAAACACTGAAGCATCCATAGTTAAGACAACCTCCAAATCTGATAGAACCAATTTATCCCTTAAATGCTAAATTCTGAAATCTCTTTCTTTACCTTCTGACCTCCTGCTGGGTTTAAAGTAGGGCTGCACGATGTTGGGAAACAAGATCATGTGATCCCTTTTCTTCCTGTGATGAGAAGATAACCGTCAACATATGCCAGATAAAATCAGTTTCAGGGTGAAGAGCGACTTAAAAACTATTGATATAATGACATCGTCTTACCCTGAATCTCCTCCATGATGTCGCTGCACAAGCAGAACGCTGTGGATCGTCGATTGGTGTAAATACACAGATCACAATGAAGCGACTAAAACGACAAAATGGCCTTTTGACTTTTATACGGGACTGTGGGTCGTCATGTATTTCTGCATTGACCTTTTGATGTGCATCGCTTGCTCCTGGAGGGGAACGCCGTCACGTGCTGCACATGAGTCATCATTCATGCAGAGCAACAGGTGATAAAAAGAATCAACTCGCTTACAATCCACTGAGCGACCGACGGTGCTTCATGCTGGAGATGTGTGGCTGCAGCAGTGAGCTCGCCTCTGCACGCACAGCGGTCAGTTCGCGGTGGGTCGTCAGCACCGATAGGCGTTCAGAGTAGTCACTGAAAAAAATGACGACTGGGTAGTTTTAAGATTTTAAGATTTTTCAGGTCGTATTTTTAGAAGTAAATCAAACTAAAGAAGTGACCATCATCGCTCGTCCTGGGACGAGACTCTCACTCTTAGGCGACGCATCGTGCAGCCCTATTCTTAAGTCTCATGATTAAACGCTGGATGATACAAACCCGTCTAAAAAGCAGGAGGTTGAGAGCGTTTGGTGGTTCTTCAGTGGAGGGGCCCCCCTCCCCTTCCCCCTCCTGCCTGTGGTTTTGGGAAGGCTGCCGTTGTTCCCCCTGGCCGGCTGACAGAACTCCCCTTGGTCAAACTGTACCTTGTCTTCTTATTCCACCTGCCAATAGAATCGCTTTCAGTCAACGATCCCCCGGATGCTCTGGACAGGCAGAAATGCCTAACTGCCTTGGCGTCTCTCCGCCACGCTAAGTGGTTCCAGGTTTGGATCTTGTCTTTATTTGTCTCTAAAAAAAAAAACAGAAGTAGTCTTGAGTTGTTGTTGTTTTGTTTTTTTTTGATGCTGTTTGTTCTTTATGTCTTTTTCTTTTGGACGTTAAGTGTGTGTTTTTTATTTTCTTCATTTACTCTTGGAGGTGTACTTCCTGTAGTGATTCTTGATGATCTCCATGTTTGTTTTTTCTTAGGAGACCTTTTTGTCGTTACTTTGTCGTAGAGTTGCTTTGCTCACTTTTAACACGTTGTTCTGCTCTGTGCCTTCTTTAAAATAAGTTCCCTGCTGCTTTTATTGGACTCCGTTAGTCTCCCCTCACAGCAAACAAATCTCTTATTCATGCTCGTGCAAACAGGTGCAATATTTCTCCAGTGTTGGTGTGCCTGAGTTGCTGCTGCTGTTCTTAATGTACGTGCAAGCTGCTTACAGAGCCGACATGTTCTGCTGCACAGCTGAGCAATATGGCTGAAAATATGGTCGCTATATTTTCTGCCATATTGGTTTTCTTTAAAGGCAGGGTTGGTGATTTTCGAAAAACTAGTATGATTTTGAAAGTAGCATTCCCTCAGTGCTCCGTCTGCACCCCCTCCCCTCTGTGCTCCCTCTAAAGCCACGCCCCCTCACTTACATGCACGAGCAGCATTGCTCCAGAAGCGGACCTCAGCTAATCGCATGAGTGTGGGCGCATGCAGGGAGACAGGGAGGAGCATTTAAAGAGACACACACACCAAAACGGAGCGTTCTGAGAGAGCTGGTTTCTACAGGGTCACAAACCTCCTCTGGTGCTTGATTCATGTTATATTTTGACCAAAGCACAACACAGATGTTTCATTTAGACCACAGGGGGACTGTTTGAAAAGGTGGAAAAGGGGGATAATATGTCCTCTTGAAGGTGTGCGATCAGCAGCACACTGCCAAAACAGCAGTGTTTGACATGTCCACATTTCCTCGTCACAGGAGTTTGACGTAAAGAAAATTAAAGTGGTTACAAAACAGAATAAAACATTTCATGAGTCTATTAGAAGCTCTTCTGCAGACAGATGGGCGGGCTGCGAGCTGAGCTCCCGCTAACATTACCTTTCCTTTTTTTGTGTAATCTCAGCTTGTTTACATCCGCTTTCCCTTCAGTGTTTATCGATCCAAAGTTTAAACCTTGAGGTGAATTCTCTGCAGAAATCTCCTCGTGTGTCACAAACACAGTTCACTAAAAACACCAAACAGAAAAACCCTGACGTCCCGTGAAGGCGCTGCAGTTTAAATCCTTAAACAAGCTCTTATTAAGTTTTCTCCTTCTCCACTAACGTAGAAGAAAAGAAAAACAGTTGTTAGTTTTGTTGTGAGATCAGCTGTTTGATCGTCTCATATCGAGTGTAACTTTACCAACTTAAATTAGATTTTATCCCATCAGGATGTTTTTAAAGCTCAGCCTGATTCTGTAGATTTAAACAGGACATGTTTTTCTCTAGGGCCCGACCGATGTGAGAATTTTAGGCAGATATGATTACAGATATTAGGAAGAGAATAAAATCTGATGCCGATATCTTTCTTAGATCTTCAAGCTTTAGAGATGGGTCCGTCCAACGCAGTCATCAAACACTTGTGAAAAAGATTTAGTTTACAGTTGAACAAAAGTCTTTTTCAGGCAGAACAACAACACCTGCACTGAAACACACATTTTTACTTTTACTCGTGTTGTAGTCAAGACTACACTAAACGAGACCAGAGTGCTCCAAGACCGAGTCAAGACCAAGACATTTAGGGATTGAGACAGAGACCATAAATATCACTGAAAAATCATCATCTTGTGTTTAGGGGGCGTGTCACTCACTTAGACCGTAACAACGGGGAAAAAAATCAAATTATGAATGAATTGAAGTTATGCCTTCTTGTAGAAAGAGGTGTTTTCCTTCTAGTCACAGTAATGACTTGGAAAAAATAGGCTCTCAGTTGTGAACTAGACCGGTCTTGATTTAAAAGCTGGAGTCCGCCCAGCCTGAGACCGAGACAAGAAAGAGACCTTCAAAAAGTGGTCTGGAGACCAAGATTGATTTGAGAACTACAACATTACTTTGAAACAATTATACAAATAAATAATAGAAATAAATGGAATAAAGCTGCTTATATCTGCACACATCGGAGATAAAATTAGCCGATCGGCCGATTTATCAGTCGAGCTGTCGTTTTTTCCATGTTGATATAAAGTCGTCATCAAAGCGTTGTGTCATCCTCGGCTTTCCTGCCTTCTCATCGCTCCATCTCTGCAGCTTCTTGTAGCATACAGTTTGTCGCCTCGACTTCTGCCGCTCCCCCGGCTGCTTGTGTTCCTCTGTGTGCCTCGAAATCAACGGGGAATATTGCACCTCGAGTAGTTTTTCATTTTGGCTGTCACTGATTTAGAGATAAATGCACACCTTTTTAAAAAAAAGTAGCTCTCACACTAAAGCTGGCGTTCAGTTAAGAGGTGGCTTTGTCACACGAGACTAAATTTGATCTCAGTCCTGTCGGCTTTTCGATTCACAGCATTGAGTGTGAAAGTAGGACGACCTAACAAAGTGTTTTTATTCCTTCATTGAAGATTTCTATAAGCTGTGATAGTCTGTGTGGCTTCATTTTTTTATTTCCTGTCGTGTATTTTGGATGTTGATGTAGCTGTGTTCTTCACGCGCTCGTCCTCTTTGACTTAAGGCTGCTCTACTCCTCCTCCTCCTCATGCCACCCCCCCTCCCCCCCTCCCCGCCCCCCCCTCCCTGCTTGTGTTCACAGGCCCGAGCTAACGGACTGCGCTCCTGCGTCATCGTCATCCGGATCCTGAGGGACCTGTGCGCCCGGGTCCCCACATGGGCCCCGCTTCGTGGCTGGGTGAGTGACTGACTCCTTTAAGACCTCAGCTCAGGGAATCTCTTTGACTGAGCTTTGGTCTCCCTTAATCCAAAAACGCACGACTCTACCTTCACATAATCCCGTGTGAAAAATCCTCCTCACACTTAGCGTAAAATCTGGAGTATAAGACGCACTTTTCATACCTGTTTTTTAATCTAATATAAGAATGTCGGCTGCTTCCTGTACACGGTTGCGGCATATAAAACGGATAAAATGCTGACAAACACCATCATTCACTGCACGCCACCTCAAATGTTAGAAAAGCTTGTCGCCCCGGGGGGAAAACTACAGCCTCCATGAAGCGTGCACGTCTCCGTTAAGAGCTTAAAATCCTGAATTTAAAGAAAACGGTGAAATATTGTTCAGTAAGGAAAACTTGTGGAGTGCTGGTTTGATTTAAAAGACTCCTCGATTAAATTCAACGAGTGACCAGAGGAGGTGGTCAGCGCCACTCGCTCGCAGGCTGTCGGTACTTCAGCTGAGAGTTTAACTAGAAGAAGTTTAATCCCAGCATGGTGGAAACAGACCGTTCTAAAAGAGCGACACAGCTGCACAGAAACTGCACCATGGTGAGTTTTTCTGAGTGCAGTGGAAACAGTTTAAAATCTGAAGAACTGACTGCGTCTTATATTAAGAATTTTACAATTACATAATCACTTGACAAAGTCCAAAAAACATCCTATTTACAGATTTTACGAAGCCAAAAATATTGCCTGAATTATTTGTAACTGGTAAAAAATGTGTTTTGTCAAGTTTCTTGAAATGATCATTTTCAGTTAGATAAACTCAGGATGCTCGGTTACCCATGTGACGCTCAGTTGTTTGTAGCCGATAAGAGTGTGCGTGTGTGTTTGTGCAGGTCCTCAAATGTTACCCCAATAATAACCTCAACAACGAGTGCTTGAGTTCACAGCGGGTCGTTTCACTCTGTGCTCTGAAGAAGTGCTCCTGCTTTTACATGAGACTTCCTTTTCTTGCGTCTTAGTCATGGAAGCGTTCACCTGTAGAGGTTTATTTTTTAAGCAGGCAGCAAAAAAAAAGTCGATCAGTAAATTCGCCCTCCTATGACACATCCTGTGATATGACTGTTGCACACAGCGATAGCAGCGCTCGACCAATTCTTTGTGTAGCTCTTAATTCTATCTAATGCAGTGACCTAAAATCTCTGTGTAGTGCTGACTGAGATTAAAAATAGCGTCCTGAAAACAAGTCTCCCTCCCTCTCGGCTCTGCAGCCACTGGAGCTGATCTGTGAGAAAGCCATCGGCACGGGGAACCGGCCAATGGGGGCAGGAGAAGCTCTGCGGAGAGTCCTCGAGTGTCTGGCTTCAGGAATCCTCATGGCAGGTGAGTCTGCAGGGTCTCTCTTAAACTCTTTCCAGAGGTGTTTTACTTTACAGCATTCGGCCTGTGCTGCGTTTCAAAGATGGTCTAAATGTGCTGCATGTGTTGCAGAAGGTGCTGGAGTCTCTGATCCGTGTGAGAAGGAGCCAACGGACGCCATCGGCCACTTGGACCAACAGCAAAGAGAAGACATCACAGAGAGCGCACAGGTGAGCGCAGGGGGAACGTGTGCATGTAGAGATTTAAAGTAAAGATGTCTGATTCACATTATGTGTGTGTGTTGTGTCTTCAGCATGCCTTAAGGCTGTCGGCTTTTGGACAGCTTCATAAAGTGCTGGGGATGGACCCCCTCCCCTCAAAGATGCCCAAGAAACCCCGCAGTGAGACTCCCATCGACTACACAGGTAAACAAGGCCCCACTCACCTTCCAGACTCGAGGGAACCACAGTAGAGACTTTTTTTTTTTTTTTTTTTTTTTTTTAAATGCTCAATTGCTTTGTTTCTGTGCTGCAGTTCAAATCCCACCGAGTACGGCTTACGCTCCACCGATGAAGAGGCCCATCGAGGAAGAGGAGGGGACCGACGACAAGAGTCCAAACAAGAAGAAGAAAAAGCTGCAGAAAAAATGTAAGCTGTCTTTTTGACTCATGAGTCTGTTTGAGACTCGGAGCTCAGCAGAAATGTGAAGTTAAGGATTGCAAGATTTAGCTCTCTACAATGTTTAGAATTTAGACTGCAGTACCCATTTTAACCACTAGGGGTCATAGTTACATACTACTCCTTTAATATCGTCCCTGCAGCTCCAGAGGAGAAGGCCGAACCTCCGCAGGCGATGAACGCTCTGATGAGGCTCAATCAGCTGAAGCCCGGTCTCCAGTACAAGCTGGTTTCTCAGACCGGCCCAGTTCACGTTCCGGTCTTCACCATGTCTGTAGAAGTAGACGGGAAGGCTTTTTACGCCTCCGGTCCGTCAAAACGCACCGCCAAGCTGCACGTAGCTGTCAAGGTGAGCTCTGCCGCCACAGGGACGGTTTTGAGTTTAAACTCAAATCCTTTTTTAAATTATTTTTATGGCAAACTTTTCTTTTGGTGTTTTTTTTTTTTTTTCGGTTGTTTTTGATGAATGTGTGTGGGGGGGTTTCAGGTCCTGCAGGACATGGGTCTGCCAACAGGAGTCGAGCTGAAGACCGCTGAGACGGTCGTGAAATCGGAGGAGACGGTCGTAGCTATCAAAGTGGAGGAAATGATGCCGCTTGTAACGCCCATTGAAACAACCACTGCCGCCGCCGCCGCCGCCGCCACAGGAGCAGCAAACACAGAGAGCGCTGACGCTGCAGAGGTACAGAGCAGCTCGCCGTCTGCACAAAGTCTTTGTTTTCTTCTCACTTCACTGACCTGGATGTTCTTTTCCTCGCAGTCCGCCCGCCAACAGGGACCGATCCTCACCAAGCACGGCAAGAACCCGGTGATGGAACTGAACGAGAAGCGCCGCGGCCTGAAGTACGAGCTCATCTCGGAGACGGGCGGCAGCCACGACAAGCGCTTCGTCATGGAGGTGGAGATCGACGGTCAGAAGTTTCAGGGGACGGGTTCCAACAAGAAGGTGGCCAAGGCGTACGCGGCGCTGGCTGCTCTGGAGCGACTGTTTCCAGAAGGCGCCGTCGCCGAGGCGGCTAAAAAGAAGAAGGGACCGCCGATGGTAAGAACGGGAAAAACATCTGAAGTGAAAACGCTCCCGTGAGGCGGTTTAGCTCTGCAGCTGATTTGAATATTCCCCCCCCCTCTTTCAGCACGCTCCGGGATTCGGCATGATGGGAGCGCCCGGAGCCGGAGACGCAGCTCCCCCGCGGGGTCGAGGGAGAGGAGGACGAGGAGGTCGAGGAAGGGGGAGGGGCTTCAATAACGGAGGAGGATACGGCCAAGGAGGTAAAAAACAAACCAAAAAAAACGTACCTTTGCTGCAGCTGTGGTGCTCTCTCTCTCTGTGTTGATGAATGGAGAAATGAACCCTTCGTTCTCCTCTCAGGTGGATTCGGAACGTACGGATACGGGAACAGTCAGAACTCCGGATACAGTGAGTTTGAATTTCATGATTCTTCTTTATGATCCTGTTGTACGGGAGGGTTTTGCTTTTTTCTCTGGGCTGCAGGTAGACTTAAGTTAGCATGTGAGAAGTCCGGTCTGTCAGCAGCGGACGGTTTGTTGTGTCCTGTGTCAGGACGCTGCAGATTCAGGATGGTAGGCTGCATGTTGGGATGCTCCCAGTTCAATGATTTTACATTTCTCTGCTTTAAGCCACAGGATTGAATCCCCTTTTTTGACAAGTCCCCTTTCCCCCTCTCTCTCTTATGAGAACCAGTTCTCTTCCCTCTGGCAGACTGACCCACCTGAGTGTGACAGGAGCAGAGAAATCTAAAAAAACACCTTTTTTTAAAAAAAGCAATTTGAGTTTTTTTACTGCCTCATTTGTGGCAGGAAAAAAAAATCTAAATAAACATCTAATTTTGATTTTTTTTTTCTTTCTCTGCCCCTGTCTCACTCTTTAGGTGACTTTGTCTCAGACTGCTATGGCTACAACGAGTTTGCGACATAAATCTCCCCTCCCCTCTGTCAAAATCATAAACAGTCGTATGTAGAGAGGATTTAAAAAAATAAATAAACTCAAGTAGTAGTGATCCAGCAGCATCGTGATCTCCCTTCAACACCGAGTCTGCATCCAAAAAGACAACACCCCCCCCCCCCCCCCCCTCCTGTCCTGGAGACGATCTGCCTCTGCATGCATGTAGCTGTAAATCACCTCCTGTTGGATGAACCCTGAACACCACCGGACCTCCCCCCAAACTGCAGAGCTGACTCTTTTTTAGAAGTGTGGATCGGAGCAGCGGGGCTTCGTTTGAGTTTACTCGGATCATTAACCTGCAGGAGTCGGACAACACAACACACTGCCTTTGGGATTATAACCAACACCTCATCTTGTCTCTTTACCGTTTTACTGGGAAGTGTTTCTATTTCTTTTCTCTTTTTTTTTTTTAATGCCTTTTTTATCACAAGCAGCTTTTTACTTTGCTTTTTACGAGTGGTCGCTTTGTTTCAATCGTTGAATCTGATGTTTGAGTGTCGACAGCAACGCGTTGAATCATGTCTCGACTGAATAAAACGATGATCGGAGTTTGTTACGGTATCATGTCGGTGACAACACGAGGGGATGATTATCAGACGCTGTCGGCTGGCTGAAAGTGAAACTGGGATGTGTGTTTTAGACTTTTAGAATTCTTGCTCTAGCTGTTTTTTTTATTGTCTTTGTTTTTTTTAAATAAATGTGACATCACCATTCATAAGTGTGTTCTTCCAGGGTCTCAGTTAATTTCTATGAACTGAAGATTTTCTTCCTCCCTGATCGCTGCTCTGATACAGAGACTAAATGCTTCACTGTAAAACAGCTGAAGGTCTTCATTTACACAGGGCTGAGGGAACATAGGGTGAAGGGAACACAGGGCCAAGGGAACATAGGATGGAGGGAAAACAGGGTGAAGGGAACATAGGGCTGAGGCAGCACAGGGTGAAGGGAACATAGGGCTGAGGCAGCACAGGGTGAAGGGAACACAGGGTGAAGGGAGCACAGGGCTGAGGCAGCACAGGGTGAAGGGAACATAGGGCTGAGGTAGCACAGGGTGAAGGGAGCACAGGGCTGAGGCAGCACAGGGTGAAGGGAACACAGGGTGAAGGGAGCACAGAGCTGAGGCAGCACAGGGTGAAGGGAACATAGGGCTGAGGTAGCACAGGGTGAAGGGAGCACAGGGCTGAGGCAGCACAGGGTGAAGGGAACATAGGGCTGAGGCAGCACAGGGTGAAGGGAGCACAGGGCTGAGGTAGCACAGGGTGAAGGGAACATAGGGCTGAGGCAGCACAGGGTGAAGGGAGCACAGGGCTGAGGCAGCACAGGGTGAAGGGAACATAGGGCTGAGGCAGCACAGGGTGAAGGGAACACAGGGCTGAGGCAGCACAGGGTGAAGGGAACACAGGGCTGAGGGTAAGAAGCCTCTGTGTAGTAGATTATGAATATATTAAAGAATGTGACGTGCTGTTATTTCTCAGATTACTACAACAACGGCGGCACAAACGGAGGAGCGGGGGCGTCGAGCAGCCCCTCAGGCGGCGGCCCTCCAGCCAGCACAGCTCCAGGATCAGCTCAGGGCTCATTTGGCTCCTTCTACCAGAACGACGGCGCCTACACTGCCACGCCTGCCGCCAAAACCGCCAAAAAGAAACCCCCAATGCACAAGGGAGGGAAGGCACCATTTCCTGGACCCCCGGGGGGGAATGCTGGACCTGCAGGGGCGTACCAGTCCAGCAGTCCACAGGGCCAGGGCGCTTATAACCAGTACGGCCAGGGTTACGGGCAGGGGAAGAAGAGTTTCAACCAGAACCAGGCGGGGACGGGGGGGTACACGTACAGCACGGCCTACCCGAGTCAGGTGACGGGGGGCACGGGAGACTACAGCTATGAAGGTGAGGCTGCTGCAGACGCAATCCATTTTTCCCAGTGTTGCAGGAACATCCCGGCCTTAAGATTCATGGCGCACAAACACCATCAAAGTTGTTCCCTACGGTGCTTAACCACGATTGAATTCATACTCAAGACGACGTCACATTGAGCGTGCAGTACGATCTGAAATCATAGTATACAAACACACTGGTCAAACTAAACCGGCCCACAATGCACTGCACAACTCAGACTGTCCAATAGCAGAGCTCGCCAACTAGCATCTTAAAAATAAAAATATTTCCAAATAATATTAAAATGACTACGTAGCTGCATGTTGTTGAATTATTTTTATGGACTGAAGATCACGCTAGCTCGATGCTAGCTCATGAAACAGAGCTCTGACTGGAAATCCCTTGTTTCGTATTTAGTACGTTGCTGACAGCGAGGCTAGCATGCAGTACATGTATTATGAGTATGCAGTACATGTATTATGAGTATGCAGTACGTGGCTTTGGATGCAGCCTAGGGCTTCTATATTGTGTTGCCATGATGACCCCAAAGCTCACAGAAACACACTGCATCACTCGTTTTTCTGAATGAACAAAATACCTGTCTGTGATTTTATGGGGAAAGTTTCATGAGAAAAAAATTGTTTTAATTTCTCATTATATTTTTTTGCACATTTGATGTCGCAGGTTTCAACAGCCAGACGAGTTACAGCCCACAAGCCGGAGGCGGAGCTAACCAGGGCTTTGGAAACAACCACTCTCAGTACCACAACCAGTCGAGCTACGGCCGAGGGGACGGAAACATGAACTACCAGTACAGGTAGACTGAGCGACACGCACCCTGCCGTTAGTGTCTCCAAAGAGCGTGCTGGACGCCCCCCCGACCGCGCTCTCTGCCTTCTCCATGTTTGCTTCTGACGTGATGCTCGAGTTTTAACCCCGCGGGCACAAAGGGGAGACTTTGTGTGGACTTTGTGAGCGTCAGAGCCGAGTCTTAGTCGTCTGTGTCGGTGCGTCGTCTCGGTGTTTTTAGGTTCAATCATATTTTTGTTTTTAACTTCTGCTTCCTGTCGGCGTCCTGGTCACTGAATACGAGCGCTGAGGGCGGCGCATCGCTCCGACTTTGTTTGGTTTTTCTTAAAGAGTCGTGTGGTGACGGATTTTATTTCTTCCGTGAAATCAGTCAAATCTTGTAGTTTTGAACTACCGAGGTTGTTGTATTTTTTGTATGGATTCTCTAGACTATGACTAGCTGGTTCTTTTCCCGCTCTGCCTGTAATTTTTGGCTTCTTTTGTAACAGTGTTATAGTTATTTTAATAAATGGTTTTTGAGATTACTGGAAAAACACGCTGTGATGTTTTACTCCGCCTCCCTGCTCAGTGATTGGGCGGGGACACTTCCTGTTTATGTCTTACAAACTGTTTGTGTTAATAAATGATTTTTATTTTACTACAGCTCTTCTTTACAGATTTGTCTTGCATGTTAAACGATTCTACTATCAGGACAATAAATATTACTAGCTACAGATTTCTCACAACCTGGCAACCACATCTCATTCTTATGATGGCTCATAACTGACCCTTAGAAAGTAAATGATGGGGCGCCAGAATCCTTGTGGTTAGAGGGCGCCCCATGTAAAGTCTGGAGTCCTCCAAGAGGGCGCCCGGGGTTTTAGTTGCACCATTCCCTCATTATTTCTCTCTCTCTCGCTCTGATTTCTGATTCTACCCAAAAATAAACCTTGGAAAAAAGTAAATGATCACATAAATGTTTGTTCAGAAAAATAAGAACAAGAAGTAGAGACTCAGACATCTTGAAATTGTTGTTTTATTTAGTCATTGATGGGACTGCAGAGAGCAATACCTCCAGTCACCAGCAGAGGGCCTCGTTACACATTAAATGAAAAAAAAAAACCTGCAGGGAGATAAAAAAAAAAAAAACTTTGCATAGGAACATGCATGAAAAAATATATCAATATAAACTCATATTTCAAAATAAAAGTCACACATCAACAGCATATTCATCTCATGAAATCAAATAATCACACAATCATGATGAAGTCGTCTCCTGCTCGTGTAAACTCTGCCAACAGCCGTACAAATATTTAAATTTAAAGTTCCCTAAAATATTAAGCAGATCAAACACAGAGATTGAAACTCACATTATTTAATTCAAACATTAATGTTGAATTTTGTCCAGAGAAAAAGAGTTGGACAAAAGAGATTCAAATGTTTTATGAAAGTATAATTGTGTGCACATGAAGAACTTCACTTTAAGAGAAACTATTCTGATTTATATAAAGACATTTTAAAAGTCAAAATAAACACCTAAGCTTTTCAAAATGGTTAATTTAACCTGTTGTAAAAATGAATTCATGCAGTGAACGTGTTTCTTTTCTGCTGGAACTGCAATACCTCAAGTGGCCACCTACCTCCAAAAGTTAGTCAAACCCTATCAAGCATTCAAATGAATTTTTGTTTTGTTTTGTGTTCACAGATGTGTATACAATCATTTGGATCTCTGGAGAGTCTTGTTTGTACCTGCTGTGTTCTCACATTGGCTTACCTTCACTAATGCTAAACCCCTCTATTTCAGCCCTGCTCAGAACAGGCTGTTTCTGTGTCTGTACCTTTAAATATGTAAATGAGCTGTGTCTGACCACGCCCCCTCTCTGGACGGACTTGGGTGTACTCGGTCTTTCTCGCTCCATGTCCTATTGTTTACGGTGAGAAGGCAGACTCAGAGGGCAGAACAAACACCTAGCTGTGGGAGTGTCATCCACCTGGGGGGGGGGGGGGGCTACTGCCCTTTGTGATGTCATGAAGGGAAAATCTCCAAACGGCCTGTTTGAGCACATTTTTTCTGAAAAGTGGAGCAGGCAGAAGACGGAGAGGATGAACTTTTCTCATCATTGGGGGGTTTGTAGATGGACTAGAGACACATGGTGAAGGTTATTTTGGATAATATGTGACCTTTAAAGCCACTTTTTATGTTTGTTTATGTATCGCAGTTTGCATCTTTATCGAGATGCTTGACTGTGTCATCGCACATCACATTTTTTGATTTATGTCGTGCAGGCCCATTCTCATCCAGAGTTTAGTGCACGAGGATTCACTGAGCTGGCGGCCATTACAGAAGCTCTCGTGGAAAAGTTGTAGTTCATGTTTTTAAAATATGCAAAACGGGAATAAACTCAGACGCAGCTCAGAAATGACTTTGAACACCTCCTCATGTGCCTCTTTTTTTCTTCATCTCAGAGTGTGAGCCATGATTTTTCTCTGCATTGCTGAACATTTTACGCAGTGACATCACCTTCATCTTTTCTTTTATCTAATCTCAATAAAGATGGCTCCTCGGGGGTATTATGGTCTGTATTCATGGGGACTGGACTTCGTAGTTGTTCCCCTGAGACCATCCATCTACCCCTGATACCGGGCGGGGAGTGTGAAAGCAGCGGGGCGATCTGTCATTCATGCTATTAGTTCATGGTTATCATCCACGGTGGCCAAGGCCATTAGCCCGGAGACATTAGCAGCAGCCATCAGCAGAGCCATTAGCCGGTGTGGCTGCTAAAAGGCTACTGTCCCTCACAAAGACTCATTAAGACGAGACGCTCCTGAATGAAGATGGAGGGAATCCAGAGAGAGAGAGAGAGAGGGAGCACTAAAGGACGGGAGTGAACACCTATATCATGTTAATTGTTCAGCATGTCATTTCTCTCCACTCTCCATCTGCAGTTAGTGTACGATGTGCACACATAATGTCCCTGCAGTGATGTTACATCGTCCTGCATGGAGAGAGTGAACGTCTTTCCCCCAGAGAAACACCTCATACCTGTTTCTTTATCATGAGAGATATCTTAAAGTGCTTTTTTGTGAAACGATAGACACAACTGAAGACAGGAAGTCAAAATGATATCAAACAATTTGGATATATCTCCATCTTTCTGTGTTTTCATACATGCGTATGTGAGCATGTATGAGTTTTGCTTTCCTGTGTTTCTGCACAGAAAAAGAAACAATATCTGCTCTTCGTCAGCTGCAGATTTTCTCACTTTACTCTACACGTCAGCTGTGAACGATGGCTGCCTCCAGTCCCCTAAGTCGGTCTGTAGCTTCGGCTGTGCACGTCCTCAAAAAATAATATTTAGATTTTGATTAGATTTCAGATTTTGCAGCTTTGTGTTTATTGGGCAATCCAACATAGTTCATTTCTTACATCATTATTATTATTATTTTTTTTATAATGTTATACAAAACAATAATAAAATGCAGAAGAAGAAAACAAAATGACTATAATAATATCTTAGTTTGCCCAATTTTTTTGTAATAGAGAAAAAAAAAACAAAACAAAGAAAAACATGCAAACCCACACACACCCAAACATAGACATCTTTAAAGGATCTTTTTATTTTCTGTGTTTGTGTTTTTTTTCTATTTGAAGACTTTATCACTTAGTGAGCATTTTGTTGTGAAGTTTTGCAGCTCATTCTGTTTGTCTGCATTTCAGTCATTGCAATTTATTTTTTGACTTTTTCTTCAGTTTTTAGAGTTTGCAAATTATTCCTCTTCAGAAAAAATCTTTTGAACTGCTGCAGGGTGTTTGCACTTGTGGGCCTCTGTAGTTGAGGGATAGGGTGGTTATAGTTTCCAGCTGCTTACTGAAATAATACTGACCGGATGTTTACTGTTGCAGTGAGTGATCATTTGCTGCTTTGGACACACAAGAAGAAAAAGATGTTCCTGAAGTCTGAAGGAGAACTTGAGCTGGAGTGTTTAGAGACGGGATGAAGAGAAGAGATGGAGGAGGAAAAAAAAAAAACCAGGAGAGAAAACATGAGGGAGGTGAGTTTACCCTCTGACCCAACGTTCCTTTCCAGCCCAGATACTCAGGGGCCCCTGACAGACGCTTAATGCCTCACATGGACGCACATGAATGTACATCACACACTCACGTACACACACACACACACTCAAGTACACACAGACGCACACACACACTCAGTTGATCTGCGCCGTGCTTGTGTGTGGGCGGCTAATTTCATTAGCAGAGAGATCAGGGCGCTAAACCATTAGTTCTCATCTCTGCCCCTTTGTACTTTTTCTTCTTCTGTCTCTCTCTCTCTTCACAGGGTGTCTAGATATGAACTGACATTCAAATACACCCTTTCACTTACACACACACACACACACACACACACACACAAGCTGGATGTGGTATAGGTTTGTATTGGAGCGAGGATCAGGTGGTTCACTATGTAGGTCAGAGGGAAAATAAAAGGAGAGAGAAGCCGTGTCTCAGTTTCCTCAATAATTAATCAATCCTTTTTCTCTCTCTGCCTGTCTCACATACACACGTGCACACACACACACATGCACACTCTCTCTCTCACACACACACATGCACACTCTCTCTCACACACACACACACACACACACAGATATGAGAATGAATGGAAAGCTGGGAGGCAGTAAGCATACAGATATGAGCAGCAGAAGAGAGAGAGAGACAGTCAGCCGTATATGAAGTTCTGCAGTTTATTCGTCCTGCGGGAGCCTTTAGCTCTGATAATCACCTCAAGGAGCTTTTAGCAAGCTGCCGTCATCGCCCGTGTGTGAAATTTTAGATTACGTGATCACATTTGGAGAAAGTTTTTCTGTGAGGGCGGGTGCATGTGCGATGTGCAAACACCTGCAGGGCTGCTTGTGAGGAACGACGAGGTGTCCTTCTGTTTTTGATCTGCATGTGAAGAAAGGAGGAACCTGCTGCAGAATGTGTCTTCAACATGCACGCTCGGATGATCACACACACACACACACACACACACACACACACACACACATATAAACACACACATGGAGGCTGGTGACACAGGATTTCCTGCTGTAGGCGTCAGCGCAGAGAAGAAGAGGAAGTGCAATCTGCAGAGGATCATGGGAGGGAAACTTTAAAAAGAGTTATTAAGATGATCATATCAACGCTCAGACTAAAGGTCGACATGTGGAATCAAATGGATAAACAAAGCTCAAAATATTTGTACAAATTTACTATTAAACTTAAAGGCTTTATACAAATAAAAATTGATTGATTGATTGATGGAGCTGAGGCAGGTTTTAAGACTCCTGACAAATGGCTACAATGCACACAGAAGGCTGTCGGTGCTAGCAATGCTAACGTTAGCCACACTCAAACTATTAGAGCTTTCACACTTGCAGAAAACTCCTGATATTTGAGAAAGAGAGAGAGAGAGCACTGTCTCAACGTGTTTGTGCAATTTAGACCGAGTGCAGGATTCTGTCTGCAACTTTTGGTCCTTAAAGACTTTATATGTGATTTTTTGATCCA